CTAAGGTGAGCAGTGCTGCAATAAGGGAGGAAACTGAAGGAGACAAGGACGGGGAAAAGATAGAGAGACAGCAAAATGAGTGTCGGGGAGTAAAATATGGCAAGATCTTCTGAAGGTAGGTATGGACAGAGAGAAAACAGACAAACAACCCAATGCCGTTTTCCGAAAGTCCTAAAGCCCAGGCGGCAGTGTGCCTAAGATTAATCCTAAACCCTAGCACTACCTCTGGAAGAAGAATCTGAGGTGAAAGGGTAGTGAGCACCACAGCCCCTACTGTGACAGGATGGCCAAAGTTCTTCTCAATGTAGAGCCGTTTAGGGAGACCAAAGGCCCCACATGAAAATAGTGATTCGCTGGTCCCTTTAAAACAAAGAGTTTCGGTTCTGGCAGATACCGGGGCTGAATGCACTGCTCCTAATGTATTTAGATAGATACAGAGATACATGCATCCCTGTGAGATGAGCACATCTACTGCTACAAATTAGGTATGTTCTACCCACCCCATGGTGGTTCTGTATCTCCCCAATCCCAGAGAACATTGTGAGGACAGATACTCTCCTGGGAGCTGCCCTTGAAACAACTATAGGTTAATTCCATCTCCAGGCCAGGGTACTAAGAGTCATGCTCCAGAAGGAGGCTAGTTGGGAGCTGGTGGTATTACTCTGCCCATGAGAGGTGGTGTATATCAAACACTCTAATCTCCCAGGAGGGCAGAGAGAGATAACAGCAACTATTCAGGAACTGGAGAGGGTGGAGATTGTGCATCCAGCACAGAGCCTATACAACAGCCTATGGCTGGTGTAAAATCCTGGTGGCACCAGGAGGATGACCGTTGATTACAGAGAATGCATAAGGTGACTCCATTTATACACTCTGCTGTCTCAAATGTGGCTCACAAAGTGGATAGGCTAACTACTTGTTTAGGTACACCTTTACTGCCCTGGATTTAGCAAACACTTTCTTTGTCATACCCTTAGATCCAAAGTCCCAGGACGTGCCTGCCTTCATCTAGGAGGGCCAACAATAAATTTTTAAAGTGCTATCCTAGCAGCAGTTTTATTTCCTTACAAACCCTCTGTAGCTAGGCAGATGGCCACAACAGAGGTCGGTGTTTCCCGATCGCGAGGAGCCTGACCTCCTTGCTGGCCATTTGCAATTTCAAACCCTTCATAAGGCTAATCAAGCCAGCTGGTGTTTTTAGAGCATCTTGATATTCCCAGGGAGGCCGGCAAGCATGGAGCAAGCAGGCCACAGAAGCCTCACACAGAACCTGACACCATTCCAGGATGTCCCCAGTCAGTTCCTCTTTGCCCCAGCCCATTTCTTTGGGGTCCTGTTGATATGCCAATTATTTCGCCCTCCCAAGTTTAGATGTTTCTGTGACTGAGGAAGGAATAGGTTGGGCCCCCTAGCAGAGGAAGAGCAACCAATAAATGCCCTTTAGCTTCTGCTCACAATTGTTCAGGGGGCCTGAACAATGCTATATCCTGTTGGATAAATAGTTTCTTGCAGTTAACCAGGCCCTTTCGAAAACAGTGTCCCTAACTGGAGATATATCAGCGGAATTAAAAACAGCTTACCCTATTAAGGGTTCAGTGGCTGGCCTATTCGCCAGGTCCACATCAGCTGTAGCAGAAAATAGTACTCTGGTTGTGGAGGGTGGCAGGAGGATACAGATCTCCAACAGAGGAGGCATCTTACATCCAGCTCTCTGTTTATAAAACTTACAGGCCCTGTTGGGACCTAGACAATAAACAGTAGATTTAAAATAAGTCCCAACACCACTGCCAGAGAAATCTTATTGAATAAAGAAAGAAGAAGGAAACCCACCCAAGGGTGCTTGGTACACAGATGGCTCCAATGTGGGTCAGCTATGCAGGTAGACTTCTGTGGTCATGCAACCAGCTATCCACACTATATGGGTGCAATCTGCAACAGGGTATAGCAGCCAGTGGGCAGAGCCCTGAGCTGTCTGGATAGTGATTATGAAAGAGCTATACCCAGTAATTCTGTGTACTGATTCCTGAGCATCCATGAAAGGGTTGACACTGTGGATAACTCTATAGGAAAAGGATCAATGGTCCATAATGGAAGGCCATTCTGGGGGCAGAACTGTGAACAGACATTTAGGACTGATTACAATAGCCAAGGCTAAAGTCGCAGTGTTCCACATAGCAGCTCACCAACAGTCACCCCTTATGGAAATACGGAAGCAGAAATTCTGTCCCAGGCCAAGTCAGTGGTCATCTGAAGAAGCAGGTATAGCACACTGGATACATCAGAAGGGAGGTCATGTGGGCTGCGGCATACTATTTGGAAACTGGCTCAACACTCTGGCTTACTAGTGTCCAAACAAGACAGAGAATATACTATACAAAATTGACCCAACTACTACCAGACCTCTCCTCAGCAAGCACCAGAGGCCACTGGAAATGTAAAAAGAGGGGAGAGAGCCATTGACACATGGCAACTCGATTATATTGACCCCACTCCGTAATTGGTAAAGGATACCAATACACACTCACATGCATAAACACTGAGTGGCCCCTTGCAAGCTTTCCTCCATTGAAAAGCAAATCAGACCTTGACTACACAGGGTCCACAATGCTTGCAACTAATGTATGGTGCCCTAAAAACTATCATCAGTGATCAAAGGAAACATTTCCCAGGCTCCCTAATCCAAGATTAGGCAGAGAAGGAGGGCATGACATGACAATTTCATCTGCCCTACAGCCTACAGAGAGCAGGACTGTTACAAAGGAAAAATGACCTCTTCAAAGAACAAATTAAGCTCTTGACAGGACTCCCCTCATTGAGAAATTGGACTGTGGTTTAAATGAAAGTTGTATGTGCCTTGAATGAAGCTCCCATTATGGGAGGAAAGTTGGCTTATGAACATGTGATGGATATAAATAGCCAGGTGCAACCCATAGGGGTATGGAAAAAACTAAGCCTGAAACTCAGTTTCACATGGACCGCCCTGATTTTGTGCTCCCCTTGTTCCACAACCCCTGGTCAGGGAAGCCTGAAGTGAGATCTGGAGTAGAAGGTGCCATTGGGCTGGACTGGTAATCCTTCTTCCCCTGAGGTGGGAGGCTGCCACTGCCCTGGACTTGATCCCCACTTTCTTTTTCCTTAAAGGGGCTGGGGAGACACACTGGCAGTGGGCAGGCAGTACCTCCATACTGATGGGCACCAAAGTGGCACTAGAACAGTGGATTTCACCCAGACTATCACTGTGGAGACTATACCACATCCCACACTGGGAGAGATGGTCTGCATACTCCTCCTGGAAACATTCCCAAGGCTTCCGAAATTATTGCAGAGGGGGATTCTAATACGAGTTTTATTACACAGGTGGAGAAGAAGGTCCCAGTCTGTATTCCTAATCATTTTTGTCATTTGTTTTTTGCTTCAGCTGCCTTCTCATTTGCTCTTATATCATCCCCACTGGAGCTTGGATATCCTCTGAGAATGTTTTCCTGGCCTGGGCCTATCACACAACTCATAGTCAAGGCTGATCAAACTGGCAGATACATGGTCTTATGCCCCTGAGTAGCCAAGGAGGAACACCCTATTTAACTGAGCCACTATGTACAAACCATATAATTGAAAAACACATGGAAATGGGTATTCTAGATACCTCTGACATCATGCATGCAAATGCCATAGGGATGCAACATCCAGCAACGCTGAACACAATATAAGTTTTTTCCTGAACATGTCCACAGGAAGGCAACAACCAAAGCCAGGACTTCCCTGAAGAGCACAACATCCTGGCAATAGGGATCATATTGGCAAATGCAGGATGGCTTTGTGTGGCTCACCCCTACAGTAAGGATGCTCTCTGGAGTTACAGAGCGCTGTCAGGAACAACACAGTCACTCTAAGGACACTCAGGTGTCCTTAGACAATCCCAGATACCTAGGGCTTCTCCCAACTACTGGATGCCAACACATCATTATACTTAGGGACACAGCCTGGTTTTGTAGGACAATAACATATTGGATTGCTTGACTGGTACCCAGTTGTTCAGGAGTACTCACCTCTGGCCCTGGATTCCCTTGAGACGGCTTGGATGGTGTACCCTTGGCTTAATGTAGGTACCCTCCAGGATTTATGACACCATCCCTGTCTGCTTCACTGAGCCCATCTGTAGGGGCTGGTGGAGTAGGTCTGTTTTTCTGTTTGTTTGTTTTTGGTGGGATGACTGATTGACTGTATTTGTACCCCTGGAAGTTTAAGCCTTTCAAAGATGTGTCTCCAGAGCTCTGAATGACACTGAGCATGGTTTGGAGTCCTTGAACACTGAAACAGTCACAAAGAGGAAAGTGTCCTACAGAACTGAATGGCTCTAGATGTGCTGACTGTTGAGCAGGGAGGGATCTGTACCCTTTTAAAGACTGAACGTTGTGCATACATGCCAGACAAAGAAACTGATATTAATTGATTCCTCCTTCATTTACAAAAGGTATCACAGCTACTTGACCACAGGTGTTTGACTCTTGGTGGTCTACAATAAAATTATAGTTTTCAGAATTGAAGCCTCAGTGGAAAGCTCCGCTAGTAAGCCTTTTGGGAACTGTGGTTTCAGGTCTCATCACCTGTCTCATCTGTATTTACTATTGCTGTTTTGTTGGCAATGTGCCATAAAGTTAGGAAAATGGACCTTAAAAGCAATTCTACCCTTTCCTGCCAGCTCAGAGAACATCTCAGAAGAGATGGGTTTGTAAACTAACAAGAGCCGGTCAGAGGTATAAATTCTAGTGTCCCCCAGATTCCCCAACTTTCTTTTCATGTCCTGGACCAAAGATCACAGAGTGCATTGACAGATCTGTGACTCAGCAAGCTGCAGGTTTTTCCTAGCAGGCTTGAATCCAAGCTGGAGCCCTGAAAATTTTCAGGTACTAATAAAGGTATCTAGGTTGTTGCCCAAATCACTGAAAGAAATTAACCTGGCCCAGACCCAAATTCTTAAAACCAGCATATAAAGTCCATACCTGAACCCTTCACTGTGGACATCCTAGGTAGAATACCCATTTCCTCTTGCTGTTGGTGGCAAGGATTTCTGCAGCATGCTGTAAGTTCCCTTAGTAAATGCTTTGGACTGATCACCCCAACATTCAGTGCTTTTTTTGGAATCTCAACCAGCTTCATCTCTGGATGGCTTGGGCACTCCTTTGTGGAAACTCTCCTGCTGACACTTTTGAGGTGACTCCAGATGCAGGTTAGGCAAGATAAAACAGTCCTAAAACTCAACAGTGAAAATCAAGAAATCCATTAGAACACGGGTAAAGGACATGAAGAGACATTTCAGCAAAGAGGATATGCAGATAAGCACACGAAATGATGTTCAACATCACTGTTCATTAGGGAAATGTACATAAAGACTACAATAAGAAATGATGATCCATTCTATTAAAATTTATATTAGAACAGCTAAAATAGAAAAATATTGACAATATAAAATGTTGTCAAGGATGCAGAGAAAGTGGATCTGTTATACATTGCTGGCAGAATGTAAAATGGTACAGCCACTCTGGAAAATAGTTTGACAGTTTCTTAAAAAACTAAGCATATACTTACCAGAGGACCCAGTAATTGTACTTCTAGACATGTATCCAGAAAAAATAAAATGTATGCCCATACAAAAATGTACATGAATATTAGTAACAGCTTTGTTTTTGATAGCCAAAAGCTGATAGCATGTCACTCAAAAGCCAAATGGTTAAACAGAATGTGGTACATCCATACCATTCACCACCATCAGCAATAAAAAGCAGTAAACTAGTAATACAACAAATTTGGATGTGTCTCAAAAGTATTATGCTGAAATTAATAAACCAGTCTCAAAATGTTGCATACTTTGAGGTTCAGGTTATACAACATTCTCAAAATGACAAAATTATAGTGATGGAAAAGAGCCTGGTGGTTGCCAGGGGTTAGGAATGGCAATAGGGAGGATTTGAGTATGATTATAAAAGAGAATGGAAGACCTTAATCTTCTGTTCCCTTAAATAGATCTGTGTCTTGATTGGAATGGAATCAGTGTTGCAGGAATCTACACATGCAATTAAATGACACAGGTCCATACACGCACATTGTACCAATGTCAATTTCCTGGTTGAGATTATATACTGTAGTTATGTAAAAATATAACCATTGGGAAAAGCTGGGTGAAGCATAAGCAGAATCTCTTTGTACTGTTTCTGCCACTCCTGTCACTATATTATTTTAAAATAAAAAGTTAAAAATAAATTAGATAAATCACCATCATAATGGGTGATAATGTATGGCCATGTCACCATACAAATCTCATCTTGAATGTAGCTCCCGTAACTCCCACGTTTTGGGAGGGACACAGTGGGAGGTCTTGGGTGGGATTTTCCCATGCTGTTCTTGTGATAGTGAATAAGTCTCATGAGATCTAATGGCTTTATAAATGAGTGTTACCCTGCACAAACCCTCTTGGCTGCCACCATGTAAAAAGTCCCTTTTCATCATGATTGTGAAGCCTCCCCAGCCATGCGGAACTACGAGTCCATTAAACCTCCTGCCTTTATAAATTACCCAGTCTTTGGTATGTCTTTTTTCACAGCATGAGAATGGATTAATACAGTAAGTTGGTACCAGGAGTGGGCTGCTGTAAAGATACTTAAAAATGTGGAAGCAACTTTGGAACTGGGTAACAGGCAGAGGTTGAAACTGTTTAGAGGGCGCAGAAGAGGACAGGAAGATGTGGGAAAGTCTGAAACTTCCCAGAGACTTGTTGAATGGCTTTGACCAGAAGGCTGATAGTGATATGGACAATGAAGTCCAGGTTGAGGTAGTCCCAGATGGAGATGAGGAACTTGTTGAGAACTGAAATAAAGGTGACTCTTTCTATGTTTTAACAAGGAGACTGGTGGCATTTTTTCCTACCCAAAGGAACTTTGAACTTGAGAGGTGATTTAAGGTATCTGGTAGAAGAAATTTCTAAGCAGCAAAGTGTTCAAGAGGTGACTTGGGTGCTGTTAAAAGGATTCAGCTTTATGAATTCACAAAGATACAGTTTGGAATTAGAACTTACATATAAAAGGGAAGCAGAGCATAAAAGTTCAGAAAATTTGCAGCCTGATGGTGTGATAGAAAAGAAAAACTCATTTTCTGAGAAGAAACTGAAGCCTGCTACAGAAATTTTCATAAATACTGCCGAGGCTAATGTTAATCACCAATACAATAGGGAAATGTCTCCAGGGAATGTCAGAGGTCTTCAGAGCAGCCCCACTTATCACAAGCCAGGAGGCCTAGGAGGGAAAAATGGTTTCATAGGCCAGGCCCAGGGCTGTACTGCTTTGTGTGGTCTTAGGACTTGGTGTCCTACATCCCAGCCATGGGTTAAAAGTGGTCAATGTAGAGTTAAGGCCATTGCTTCATAGGATGCAAACTCCAAGGCTTGGTGGTACACATGGTGTTGGGCCTGCAGGTACTCAAAAGTCAAGAATTGAAGTCTGGTAATCTCTGCCTAGATTCCAAAGAATGTATGGAAATTCCTTATGTCTAGGCAGAGGTGTGCTGCAAGGTTGGAGCTCTCCTGGAGAGCCTCTGCTAGGACAGTATGGAAGGGAAATACAGGTGCAAACCCCACACAGAGTCCCCACTGGGGCATCACCTAGTGGAGCTATAAGAAGAGTACCACTGTCTTCCAGACCCCAGAATTGCAGATCTACTGACAGCTTTAACCATGCACCTAGAAAAGCTGCAGACACTAAACACCAGTCCATGAAAGAGGCCAGGATAGGGGCCACAGGGATCAAATTGTCTAAGACCATGGAAACCCACCTCTTGCATCAGCATGACCTGGATGTGAAACATGGATTCAAAGGAGATAATTTTGGAGACTTAAGATTTGACTCAATCTTAAAAACCAACATGGATATTCTAGCTTTACTGGTTGTAAGTTTAGCACCTGACAATATCTACAAGATTTCCTCAAAGGTGAAATGATCACATCCACAGCTCTCCTTATACAGAGGTATAGAAATAATTTATCAGGTAGATGTCTGATTACAGTGCAATGGAAAATGGCAGGCTTTAAAAACTTGGCTCTAAGTCTGTAAAGACTTTTCAGGAAATCAGCTATAATATGGTAAAAATAAACTGTGCTTAATTGAAATTTTACTCCAAGTTCTGGTATTCCATTTTTTTATGCAAAATGAACTTATTTATAACCAGATGCAGTAATTTAGAAAAACAAAAAGAAAAAAATGCAGAAACATCTAAGGAAACAGGAATCATCAACCCTATCAAAAAACTGAAGCTTTAGGTTAAGGTTTGGCACCCTTGTATCGTATTTATTCTCCAGTCATTTGTTTCCAATCCTTGCTGAATCTTTAAGCTTTCTCAAATGTCTTGAGGCTCTCATCAGTACTTGAATATGGACCAATACACCACTAGCAGTCACATCAACTAGGAAACAAAGACCATTAACAAAGGACCCACTACAAATGACGCCAAGGAAAATTTATAGAGCACACACAAAAAATGCCTCATTTCTTGGCTATTTAATTTTCTGGATACCACATTGATTTTCGTGGCAGTATCTTTTATTTGTTTTTATTTATTGTTGGTGTTATAAACCCAAGGAACTTTGAATTTCAGCAACTAAACTCTATTTCAGGTAAACAAAGCAAAGGTGTAGCAAAGTATCTCTCAAGTTAGTTTATTCCCTTGTAATCTGAGCTCCATGAGCAATGTTATAAAACCCCTTGTATGTCTGTGCATCCATCAATATTTAAGAAAATATTTTGTACCTGTTGTCTTTCCCCAAAAAATGGAGCTTAGAAAATACTGTATGCATTATTTTAACAAGTAAATGTTGGGTATCTAATCTGTGCAATGTATTTTGCTAGATGCTGGATCAATTTTTCTTCAGAAAATGGAATAATGTTAAGTGGTAGCACCCAGTGAATGTTAGACATTGAAATTTTCCCTATCATTTTATTCCATTGAGCAAGCTTGCATTCATTCATTCATTCTTGCATTCATTTTTGTGTCCATGTGCAAAATCTTGTTTTTATGATGTATTCCAAAGAAGGATTTAACATCCCTCTACTTTAATTTCCTTATCTGTAAAATGGGAATGAAAATAATAATATGATTTCATTAAGTTTTTGCCAGGAGTAAATGAATTAATGTGTCTGACACAATGGATCTGGCACATGCCAGGCCTATGCATATATTGATTACTGTTTCAGCCTCAGAACTTCAAGAAGTATTACCTAAGGCACTCCATTAACTACCCCATTATGGTAGCATACCTTTTATTTGGAAGATGTAAGCCCAAAACGTGAGGGTGAAATAAAAAAGTGAGAGAAGTGATGTAAGGAAAAAGTGATGTGAAATCATGTGTCTTCACTTTACAACAAGCTGCATCTTGGGGCAAGCTGAGAGAGGAAGGTAGGGAAATTAATCTGCCCACGTCTAATCTTCCCAGGTCTCTTTCACCTTTCATTGAGCAATCTTCATCCCTTACATCCCTTCAAATTGTAATACCTGACTCCTCTGAGGCTTTTCAGAAAGCCAGATCCCATACTCAGTGTGGCTGTGTTTCATCCTCATCGTTTTTTCTGATATTCTACTTGCTATCAGTTAAGCTATAGACTGAGGACTGAAAACAACATGAAGGTTGCCTTTGAATCAAACCTCATTTTCACAGCTCTCAGCATACTGTAGCAGATAAAAAGCAGGGCTTTGGAATTAGTCAAGCAATTTTAAGCTCTAAATCTGCTACTATGTACCTGTGCAAATTTTTTGAGTTGTCTGAGTCTTGCTTTCTTCATCTATAAAATGGAAATGTTAATAACTACCTCATAGAGCCGTTATAAAGGATGAACCAGCAGTAACGTAATTAGAGCTATGATTGGCACATAAATTTCAATAACTATTTACTACAACCATAATTATCACTGCATACAAATAAGAAGACAAGGGAAGCCCATTCAGACCACTGACGGTGACTCCACTAGGATCACACTAAAAGGAATTCATTACAGCCTACAGCTACATAGGAAAAGTAAAACTGAGTAACAACTACAATGGATGGATTAACATAGAAAGCCTGAAAAATAATTCAGAATCAAAACTATGTATTTCCCTCACTTGCCTGAATTATCGAAAAATTTGTCACTTTCCCCACTTCAGTTTTCTTTATACATGCTGTCAGAAAGTCACCTTCTACTTGCTTATTTGTTTCTTAAACAGTCATGCTCAGAAATGTGTCACTAGAATCAAAATGCATTGAGATCCAATGTTGTAAAATCCTATTTTATTCTTCCCAAAGTCATACAGAGCTTTAAGACCTGTGGCAGTGTTTGCCGCAACATTGCAGTGAGCAGTGATATCACTACAGTCTTATTGATGGATGCCTGCATGTGAGATGCTTAAATTTTTAAAATAGTCATTTTCTTGCAGATTTTGTGCTGTACACACTCCTGTCTGCTTGTTTGAGGTTTCAAGTGTCTATTTTTTATATTAAAACAAATCTGCTATGCAAGAGACCTATTTTACATCAAGACAAAACAAACTTAGATTTTAGACACTCTATGACTTACCTTGGGTAGAGAAAGAAAAATTTAAAAAACCTCAATTTATTTAACCTTCTTGATTTTCAATAGATTTTTGTTTAATCCTCTTCACTTCTCTTGCTTTTAAACCTAGAAAAACTAGAATTAAAGGGGATACACTAGGAGAAAGAAAAAAAACTCAGAGTGATTTTCTTTAGACTCCAATGAGTTATGACACCAAGTGTCTTAGTTCAAGCTTAATACATTAGCCTGTATTCCAATGATTTGCCAAGCATATTTGGTGCAACTAAACTGGCTTAAACTTTAGGCACAGGTCTAAACACTTGTTCTCTGTACATTACTTTCAAAATTAACAATTTTGCTTATTAAAAATTTCATATTTTCATGCATTGCATCCCACATTGATGCTTTTGTTCAGGAAATCTGGAGTGATAAGTAGGAATCTGCATTTTTAACAAGTACTCCGGGTGATTATTCTGCTATAGGTAATTCATAAACTATAGTTTTAGCGACTGATTAAAGTGTGTCTCAGCCATTTATAAACCAGAGTCAGAAGAGAAGGCACATCTCTCTTCAGTATCTCTGACATAATAGCACAAAACACCTGGTAGCTGAATACTAAGATTGCTGGAAGTTAAAGAATATTTGTATTTAAGGTAATAAAAAGCTAGTGTTTTCCCAAATTCAATGAAAATTATAGCTGCCTCACCCAAAAGCAAGTGATTAGTTTCTCAGTATTTTTTTTTACATCCTTGCTGATGTGCTTGCATTTTCAGATCAAGAAAATTAAGCCACAACTCTTTGACTATTTCTAAGAAGACTCTATGCCTTATACAACCTTCTACGCTTCTGAAGAAGAAATGATGACTGATTCATCCCAAAGATATTCCATACATAAAACCAAGAATGTTTCAAGAAACTTCTGGTGAATTCAAAGCATGTTTCACTTTGAATTTTACTTATGTGATTCATGACCTTTCTCTTGCTATTTGAATTTTCCTACTGAGTCTTTCCTCCCAGTTGTTTAATGATGTTCTGTGGTGACCTCCCACAGCTTCCAAGTAGACCCAGTAAAAAGCCCACAGATGCATGAGATAAACACATACCTAATATGCTCAATATAATGGTAATTAACACATATGCTTCCAGGCAGAATGGCCACAGATCAAGTGTGGAAAATAGATTTTGCCTCAATGCTAATTTCAATTAATTGATATTGGCTTCCATGTAGGATTTTATTATGACAGACTGTGAGACCAGATTTTCAAAGGAAACTTTCTATCTAAAAAATAGAAACTAAGTAAAAAGCAACCTATTATTTTATTTTTACTTATACTAATGCTCAGGATACTACATGTGAGCATCAGATAAAGCTGAATTGGGACTATCCAATTTGGTACAAGTGATAAGTAGGCCTTGTTGCTTTCTTATATGCCTATCTTGATATAGGAATACTCAATTTATTACATTTCACAGATACTAAATATTTAATAAATTGAAGGTCTATGGACACCCTGAGTTGAGCAAATCTATCAGTGACATTTTTCTAGCAGCATGTACTCACTTCAGGTCTCTATGTCACATTTTGGTTATTCTTTCAATATTTCAAATATTTGGTTATTATATCTGATACAATGATTTGTGATCTGTGTTATTTGACATTACTATTATAATTGTTTTAGGGCACCACAAACTGCCCAATACAAGATGACAAGCTTAATTGATAAATGTTGTGTGTGTTCTGACTGCTCCAGCAACTGGTCATTTCCCCACCTCTCTCCCTCTCTTTAGACTTCCCTAATTTCCCAAGACAACAATATTGACAGGAGGCCAGTTAATGACCCTACAATGCCCTCTAACTATTCAAGTTACAGGAAGAGTCACACATCTCTCACTTTAAATCAAGAGCTAGAAATGATTAAGCTTAGTTTAAAAGACATGTTGAAAGCCAAGATAGGCCTCTTTCACCAGTTAGCCAAGTTACTAATGCAAAGAAAAATTCTTGAAGGAAACTAACTAAAAGTTCCACTGCAGTGAACACATGAATGATAAGAAAGTACAACAGCTTTATTGCTGATAGTAAGAAAATATGAGTGGTCTGGATAGAACTGCAATGAATGCTCATTGACCATTCCTAATCCAGAGGAAGGCCCTAACTCTCTTCAATTCTATGAAGGCTGGTAAGAGTGAGAAAGCTGAAATAGAAAAGTTTGAAGCTACAAGAGGTTGGTTCATGATGTTTAAAATAGAAACTGTTTCTATTATATAAAAATGCAAGGCTATGCAGCAAGTGCTGATGTAGAAGCTGTAGAAAGTTATCCAGAAGATCTAGTTAATATTATTGATGAAATTGGCTATACTAAACAAGTTTTCAGTGTCAATAAAAACAGCCTTATATTAAAAGAAGATGCCATCTAGGACTTTCATAGCAAGAGAGAAGTCAATGCCTAGCCTCAAAAATCAGATGGACAGGCTGAGTCTTTTGATAGTGGGTAATGCAGCTGGTAACTTCAAGTTGAAGCCAATGTTCACTGACCATTCTGAAAATCCAAACACCCTTAAAAAATATGCTAAACCTACTCTGCCTGTGCTCTATAAATGACTTAAAATGTTAATGATAGCACATTTGGTTACAATGTGGTTTACTAAATATATTAGGCTCACTGTTGAAATCTGCTCAAAAAATATATATTCCTTTTAAAATATTAATGCACAGTGACAATACACCTAGTCACCAAGAATCCTGATGGAGATGTACAAGATTAAAATTCTTTTCATGTCTACTAACATAACCTCCATTCTTTTTTAATTTTTTTAATTGTACTTTAGGTTCTGGGGTACATGTGCAGATCATGCAGGATTGTTGCATAGGTACATATGTGGCAAGATGGATTGCTGCTTCCATCCCCCCCGTCATCTATATCTGGCATTTCTCCCCATTTTATCCCTCCCCAACCTCCCCACCCCCTGCTCTCCCTCCCCAGCACCCCTACAACAGACCCCAGTGTGTGATGCTCCCCTCCCTGTGTCCATATGTTCTCATTGTTTTATACCACTTATGAGTGAGAACATGCGGTGTTTGATTTTCTGTTCTTGGGTCAGTTTGCTGAGAATGATGGTTTCCAGATTCATCCATGTCCCTACAAAGAACATGAACTCATCTTTTTTTATGTCTGCATAGTATTCCATGGTGTATATGTGCCACATTTCTTTGTCCAGTCTATCATTGATGGGGATTTGGGTTGGTTCCAGGTCTTTGCTATTGTAAACAGCACTGCAATGAACATACATGTGCATGTGTCTTTATAGTAGAATGGTTTATAATCCTTTGGTTATATATCCAGTAACAGGATTGCTGGGTCAAATGAAATTTCTATTTCTAGATCCTTGAGGAATCGTCACACTGTCTTCCACAATGGTTGAACTGATTTACACTCCCACCAACAGTGTAAAAGTGTTCCTATTTCTCCACATCCTCTCCAGCATCTGTTGTCTACAGATTTTTTAATGATTGCCATTCTAACTGGCATGAGGTACTATCTCAATATGGTTTTGATTTGCATTGTTCTAATGATCAGTGATGATGAGCATTTTTTCATATGTTTGTTGGCCTCATAAATGTCTCTTTTGGAAAACTGTTTGTTCATATCTTTCACCCACTTTTGAATGGGTTTGTCTGTTTTTTTCTTGTAAATCTGTTTTAGTTTCTTTGTAGATTCTGGATATTAGCCCTTTGTCAGATAGGTAGATTGCAAAAATTTTTTCCCATTCTGTTGGTTGCCAGTTCACTCAAATGATTGTTTCTTTTGCTGTGCAGAAACTCTTAAGTATAGCCCATGGATTAAGGAGTAATTTTGACTTTCAAGTCTTATTTAAGAAATACATCTTATAAGGCTATGAGTGCCATAGTGATTCATCTGATACATCTTGGCAAAGTACACTAAAAACCTTCTGAAAAGAATTCACCATTCTAGATGCCATTAAGAATGTTCATGAGATGGTGAAGCTAGACGGCTGAATAGAACCCTCCAATGATCATCCTTTCTGCAGGAACATCAAATTGAACAATTATCCACACAAGAAACTACGTTCATAAGAACCAAAAATCAGGAGAGCAATCAAAATGCCTAGTTTCAATATCACAGCAAACAAAGAAGCACATAAGAAGGTACAAAAGACAGCCTTGAATTATCTACACTGCCCTTCTCCACACAGCCTCACCACCTGCAGCATCATGCGTCATGGAGAGAGAATCTGTGTGCTTGGGGAAGGATAGCAATGTGATTGTCATACTTTGCATTGGAACTCAGTGCTGCTCTGTCATAGTGGAAAGAAACACAGGGCAGAATTCAGCCTGCATCTATGGAGGGAGTATTTAGACCAGCCCTAGCCAGAAGGGAATCATCCATTCCAAAGTTCAGAACTGGAGTTCTGGCTAGCCCCACCACTATGGGTTAAAGGACTCTGGGGTTCTAAATAAATTTGAAAGGCAGTCTAGATCACAAGGACTGCAATTCCTGGGTAAGGCCTGGTGCTGTGCTAGGCTGTGCTAGGGCCAATGGACTTGGGGTGCATACAGCCCAGTGAGACACAAGCTGGGGTCACCAAGAAGGGATTGCATCACCCTTTCTCCAACTACAGAATACAGCATATAACTTGTGGAGAGAATCCTTCTGCTTGAGAAAAGCAAATGGAAAAGTAAAAAGGATTTTGTCTTGCAACTTGAGTACCAGTAAAATGAAGCATCAAGTAGTCTCATAAAGTCAATTATTCTAGGCCTAAGCTTTCAGATTGCATTTCTAGACTTACCCTGGGCCAGAAGAGAAGCTGCTTCTGTGAAAGAAAAGATCCAGGATTGGCAAGATTCACTCCCTGCTGACTAAGGAGTCCTTGGGCCTTGAATAAACAAGAGCAGTAGCCAGGCAATAGTCACCACAGGCCTTGAGCAAGACCCAGTACTATGCTGGCTTCAAGTATGAACCTGCACATTCCCAGTGGTGGTGGTCACATGAGTGCTTGTGTCACCCTTTTGCCACATCCAGGCAGCCCAACACACACACACACACACACACACACACACAGACTGTTTGGTGGAAAGTAAGGAAATAGGACAAGAGATTGCCTGGCAATCCAAGGAATTCCCCTGGATCTTAGTGGGACCAACAGTGCATTACACCTATGAGTCTGAAAGAGTCACAGTGTTACTAGGATTGAGGGCCCCCTAATGCAATATGGCTGCAGTGACCAAACTCTTAAGACTTAGATCACAACACTCACTTCCCTTTGAATACTTGGAAAGCCTTCTCAAGAAGGATGGGTTACAAGCAAGCCCAAATTGTGAAGATGAAAATAAACATCCAACTCTTCAATGACCAGACATTAATGAACATCCATAAGAATCAAGAACAGCTAGGAAAACATGGCTTAACCAAATGCACCAAATAGTAACCAATCCTTGAGTGACAAAGATTTGTGAACTTTCAGAGAAAAGATTCAAAGTAGTGGTTTCAAGGAAGCTAAAGAAAATTCAAGATAACAACGAGAAGGAATGGAGAATTCTATCAAATAAATTTTAGAAGAGATTGAACTATTTCTTAATATCAAGCAGAAATTCTGGAGCTGAAAAATTCACTTGGCCTACTGAAGAATGCATCAGAATCTCATTACTGAAGAATTGATCAAGCAAAAGAAAGAATTATTGAGTTTGAAGACAGACTATTTGAAGACACAGTCAGAGGAGATAAAACAAAAAAGAATAAAGTATGCCTATAAGATTTAGAAAATAGCCTCAAAATGACAAATATAAAAGCAATTGGCCATAAAGAGGAGGTAGAGGGAGAGATTAAAGTAGAAAGATTATTCAGAGATATTAATAGAGAACTTTCCAAACCTAGAGAAATATATCAACATCCAAATACAGGAAGGTTATAGAACACCAAACAGATTAAGCTCAAATAAGACATTTAATAATCAAACTCCCAAAGGACAAGGATAAAGGAAATATCCGAAAAACAACAAGGAAAAAGAAATAAATAACATAAAAAGGAGCTTCAATCCGTGTGGCAGCTGACTTCTCAGTGAAAACCAAGAGGCCAAGAGAGAGGGTCATGATGTATTTAAAGTGCTGGAGGAAAAAAGTTATCCTCAAATATTATATCTGGCAAAATATTCTTCAAAGATAGAGAAATAAAGACTTCCCCAGATAAACAAAAGCCAAGGGATTTTGTCAACAACAGACCTGTTCTGCAAGAAAGGCTAAAGGGAGTTTTTCAATCTGAAAGAAAAGAACATTAATGATTAATAAAAAAAATCAGCCAAAGGTACAAAACTCACTGGTAATACTAAGTACACAGGCAAATACAGAATATTATAACACTATAATTGTGGTTAACTCTTTATAAAGTACTTATATTATGTGTAGGAAGACAAAAAGACAAATATTATTATCAAAAATAATAATTATAACAGTTTCTTAAGATATAACAATGTAATAAGATAAAAATAGAAATAGTGAAAAGTTAAAAAGTAGGGGTGATGAAGTTAAAATATAGTGTTCTTATTAGTTTTGTCTTTGCTTGTTTGTCTGTTGGTTTTCCAATGAGAGTTAAGTTGTTATCAGTTTAAAATCATGGGTAGTAAAATGTTATTTGCAAACCTCATGGTAACCTAAAGTCAAAAACCTCCAACAGATACACATACACAAAAAGAAAAGCAAGAAATTAAGATATACCACCAAAGAAAATCACTTTCACACAAAAGAAGACAGAAAGGAAGAAAAACAGACAGGAAGGCAAAAAGGCAGGAGGAAAGAAATGAAGGAAGGAGGAAAGGAAGGAAGGAAGGGCCACAAAACAATCAGAAAACAAATAACAAAATGGCAAGAGTAAGTCCTTACCTCAATAATAATATTGAATGTAAACAGACTAAACTCTAATCAAAAGATAAAAGGCTGAGTGAAGTTTTTAAAAATCCAACAATCTGATGGCTACAAGAAATACATATTACCTAAAAAAAACACATATAGACTGAAAACAAAGGTATGAAAGAAGATATTCCATGCTAATGGAAACCAAACAAGGGAAGTAGCAGCTATACTTACATCAGACAAAATCAATTTCAAGGCAAAAACTACAAAAAGAGATAAAGAAGGTAATTATATAATGATAAAAGGGTCAATTCAGCAAGATGATATAACAGTTATAAATCTATGTATAACCCAACATTGAAGTATTCAGATATGTAAAGCAAATATTCAAGCCATAGAGAGAGACAGACCCAAAATACCATAGACTTCAATACCCAACCTTTATTATTGGATGGATCATGCCAACAGAAGATCAGCAAAGAAATGTCATACTTAAATTGTACTATGGACCACATAGATCTAATAGATAATTAAATAACATTTCATCCAATGGCTGTAGTATACATATTCTTCTCCTCAGCACATGAATCATTATCAAGGATATATTATACGTTAGGCCACAAATCAAGTCTTTAAAAATTAAAAAAAAGGAAATTATATCAAGTATCTTCTCTGACTACAATGGAATAAAACTAGAAATTAAATACAAGAGGAACTTTGGAAATTATACAAACACATGGAATTAGACAATATGCCTCTGAAGGACTAGTGGATCAATAAAGAAATTAAGGGAAATTAAAAGCTTTCCTGAACCAAATGAAAATGGAAACAGCATATACTAAAACCTATGGAATATAGCAAAAACCATATTAAGAGGTAAATTTATAACAATAACTGCCTACATCAAAAAAGTAGAAAAATATCAAATAAAAAACCTAACAATGCATCTTAGAGAACTAAAAGAGCAAGAGAAAACCAAACCCAAAATTAGTTTAAGAAAAGAAATAATAAAGAACAAAGCAGAAATAAATAAATTTGAAATTAAGAAATCAATATAAAAGATCAATAAAACAAAAAGTCAGTTTTTTTGAAAAGATAAACAAAACTGACAAACCTTTAGCCAGACTAAGAAGAAAAAAGATCCAAATAAATAAAACCAGAAATGAAAAGAGATTACAACTGAGACCACAGAAATTCAAAAGGATCATTGGAGTCTACCAGGGGCAAATATATGTCAATAAATTGGAAAATCTGTGAGAAATGAATAAATTTCTAGACACAGATAACTTACCAAGATTAAACCATGAAAAAATCCAAAAGCTTGTTATTGAATAGACCAATGACAGGTAATATGATTGAAGCCAGAATAAAATATCTCCTAGCAAAGAAAAGTCCAGAACTTGATGGCTTCAATACTGAATTTTACCAAACATTAAAAAAAAAAAGAACTAATATCGATCCTACTTAAACTGTTCCTAAAAATAGAGGATAAAACAAATACTTCCAACTAAATAGGATTCCTAAATAAATACATGAGACCAGTATTATCTTGATATTCAAACCAGACAAAGAGGCATAAAAAAAAAAAACAAAAAACACAGGCCAATATCCCTGATGAACATTGATGTGAAAATCCTCAACAAAATACTAGCAAAACAAATTCAACAACACTATGATTCAACAACACTATGATTCAACAACACTATGATTCAACAACACAAATTCAACAACACTATGATTCAACAACAAAAGATTATACACTATGATTCAAGAACAAATTCAACAACAAAAGATTATACACTATGACCAAGTGGAATTTATTCCAGAGATGCAAGAATGGTTAAACATATGCAAATCAATCAATGTTGATTTTGTTGATACATGATATCAACAAAATGAAGGACAAAAAGATTTGATCATTTCAATTGATGCTGAGAAAGCATTTCATAAAATTAAACATTCCTTCATGATAAAATCCTTCAAAAAACTGTTCATAGAAGGTACACCCTTCAACATAATAAAAATTACCTATGCCTATGACAGACTCACATCTAGTATCATACTGAATGGGGTAAAACTGAGAGCCTTTCCTCTAAGATCTGGAACACAACAAAGATGCAAGCTTTCACCACTGTTATTCAACATAGTCCTGGAATTCTTATCTAGAGCAATTAGACAAGTGAAAGAAAGGCATGCAAATAGGAAGTGAAGAAGTCAAATTATCCTTGTCTGCAGCCAGTATGATCTTATATTTGGAAAACCTAAAGACTCTAACAACAACAATGACAACAAAACTATTAGAACTAATAAATAAATTCTGTAAAGTTGCAGGACACAAAATCAACATCCAAATCTCAGTAGCATTCTATTTGCTAACAGAGAAAAATCAGCAAAAGAAATCAAGAAAGCAATCCCATTTATAATAGCTACCAATAAAATAAAATACCTAGGAGTTAACAACAAAAGAGGTGAAAAATCTCTACAGTGAAAACTGTAAAACATTGATACAGGAAGTTGAAAACGACACAGAAAAATGGAAAGATCTTCAATATTCATGGAAGAATCAATATTGTTAAAATATCTATACTATCCAAATCAACCTACAGATTCAATACAATCTTCATAAAAATACTAATAACAGTCTCCACTGAAATATAAATAACAATCCAAAATTTATATGCAACCACCAAAGATCCAGAATATTCAAAGTCATATTAAGCAAAAGGAACAAAACTAGAGGAATCACATTACCTGACTTCAAATTATACAATAGAGATATGGTAATCAATACAACCAGATATTGGCATAAAAACAGATACATAGACCAATGGAACAGAATAGAGAAACCAGAACTAAATTCTTACACCTGCAGTAAACTCATTTTCAACAAAGATGCTAAGAACATACATTGAAGAGACTTCAGTAAATGACACTGGAATATCTAAATGCAGATGAATGAAACTAGATCCCATCTATCACCATATACAAAAATCAAATAAAAATGGATTGAAGATGTAAATGTAAGACCTCAAACTGTGAAACTACTCAAAGAAAACACTGGGAAACTCTCTGGGATATTGGTCTGGGCAAAGATTTATTGAGTAATACTGCATGAGTACAGTCAACCAAAGAAAAACATGGACAAATGAGTTCACATCAAGTTAAAAACCTGCACAGCAAAGGAAACAATCAATAAAGTGAAGAGACAACCCACGGAATGGGAGAAAATATTTATAAACTATCCATCTGACAAGTGATTAATGACTAGAATATATGAGCTCAAACAACTCAACAGGATAAAAATCCAATAATCTGATTAAAACTGGGCAAAAGATCTGAATAGAAATTTCTCAGAAAAAGACATACAAATAGCAAATAGGTATGTGAAAAGGTGCCCAAATCAAAACTACAATGAGATATCATCTCACTTCAGTTAAAATGCCTTTTATCCAAAAGACAGGCAATAAATAAATGCTGGAGAGAACATAGAGAAAGGGAGATCCTTGTACACTATTGGTTGAAATGTAAATTAGTGGAGCCACAATGGAGAATAGTATGGACATCTCTCAAAACCTAAAAATAGAGTGGCCATACAATCCAGCAATCCCACTGCTAGTTACATACCCAAAAGGAAGGAAATCAGTGTATCAACAAAGTATCTGCACTCCTGTATTTATTGTAGCACTATTCACAATAGTTAAGATTTGGAATCAACCTAAGTGTCTATCAACCAACTGATGGATAAATAAAATGTGGTACTTACACACAATGGAGTACTATTTAGCCACAAGGAGGGATGAGATATCACCATTTGCAACAAGATAGATGGAACTGGAGGACATTATGTTAGGTGAAATAAGCCAGGCACAGAAAGACACATTTCCCATGTTCTCACACATTTGTGTGAACTGAAAATTAAAACAATAGAAATAATGAAGACAGAGAGAATAGAATGATGCTTTCCAGATGCTGGGACAGATAGCGTGGGGGTGGGGGTGGAGGAAGTGAGGACAGCTAATGAGTACAAAAATATAGTTATAATAAATAAGATCTAGTACTTGATAGCACAACAGGGTGACTACAGTCAACAATCATTTATCGAACCTTTTTAAATAATGAAAAGAGTACAATTAGAATGTTTGCAACGCACAGAAATAACCAATGCTTGACATGATGGATTTCCTCTGATATGTTTATTACACATTGTATGATTGTATCAAAGTATCTGATGTGCCCCATAAATATAAACACCTACTATGAACCCATAACATTAAAAATAAAATTTTAAAAATCCATAATTCATGCGGGGAGGTCAAAATATTCACATCAATAGAAGTTTGAAGGAAGTTAACTCCCACTCTCATGGCTGACTTTGAAGTGCCCAAGGCTTCAGTGGAGGAAGTAACGGCATCTGGTAGAAATAGCAAGAGAACTAGAATTAGAAGTGAAATCTGAAAATGTAATTGGACTGCTGCAATCTCATGATAAAACCCGAATATATGAAGAGTTCCTTCTTATGAATGAGCAATGAAAGTGATTCCTTGAGGTGGATCTACTCCAGGGGAAGATGCTGTCAACACTGTTAAAATGAAAACAAAGGATTTAGAATACTACATAAATCTAGTTCATAAAGCATAACAGGGTTTAAGGAGTTTCTTTAACTTTTATTTTACGTTTAGGGGTACATGTGAAGTTCTGTTACATAGGTTTGTTGTACACATTATTTCATCACCCAGGTATTAAGCCCAGTAACCAATAGTTACCTTTTCTGCTCCTCTTTCTTCTCCAACCCTGCCCCCAAAGTAGACTCCAGTGTCTGTTGTTCCCTCCTTTGTGTTCAGGAGTTTTCATTATTTAGCTTCCGCTTAAAAGTGAGAACATGCATTATTTTATTTTCTGTTCCTGTGTTAGCTTGCTGAAGATAAGGACCTCCAGCTCCATCCATGTTCCCGCAAAAGACATGATCTCATTCTTTTTCATGGCTGCATGACATTCCATGGTGTATATGTACCACAATTTCTTTATCCAATCTGTCATTGATGGGTATTTAGGTTGATTCCTTGTCTTTGCTACTGTGAATAGTGCTGCAATGAATATTCTCAGGCATGTGTCTTTATGATAGAATGACATGGTTTAAGAGGATTGACTTCAGTTTTGAAAAATATCCTACTGTAGGTAAAATGCTATCAAACAGCATCACATGTTGCAAGTAAATCTTTTGTGAATGAAAGAGTAAGTTCATGCTGCAAACTTCATTGTTGTCTTACTTTAAGAAATTGCCACAGCCACCCTGAACTTCAGTAACTATCACTGTAATCAGCTGGCAGCCATCAATATCGAAGCAACACTGTCCAAAAGATTAAGACTCACTAAAGGCTCAGATGACTGTTGCCACTTTTTAGCAATAAGGCATTTTTAAATTCAAGTATATGCATTTTATAGACATAATGCTATTGCAATACTACAGTGTAGTATAAACACATTTTTATATGCACTGGGAAAGCAAAATATGTGTGCAAATCACTATTGCAATATTTGCTTTATTGTAGTGGCCTGGAATCAAATTCTCAATGTATCTACGAACTGGGAATATTACTACTACATTTGGAAATATTACTACTTTCTGAATGGACACAAGTAGGGAAATCAAAAACAATGTCCAGGAGGCATGTAGGTTTCTATAATTAGATTGTCATTCTACCACATGGATGGGAAAACATGAGCTCTTACCTGTCTTTCACAGTGAGCTTATCCACTAATGTGTGTGAATAGATCACATCAGCATTTCTCCTCCTGAAGAGAAATGAGGGAGGAAGAGAGCAGAGGTCAATAAAGGAACAGAAGAATTTTGGGATCAGGAAGAAAGAGCTAAGGGATCACCTTCCCCATGTAACTCTGTATTACTTTAATTTCTAGAAAAAGACTAGAAGAATAATGCTTTATATAGTTTTTCTTAATCCATCCAACTTTAAAAACATAGCTTAAATATTTTTCTCCATGGAATTTCTACTAGTTCTTTCACTTAGATATGTTCTTATGATTTTCATTCCTATAAAATGTTAATGTACTGTATATACATCTCTTAAAAGATTATTACTATTCTACTCTATGTTATTGGTATTGATAAAAATGAATTTTCCCCATTCATCTGTTCAGATGAGTTTGCCCAAGTACTAAGTAATAATCACCACACTAAGAATAAGGACATATAAACAAGTTAATAAATAAATATATCCCCACCATCACCAGTACTATTAACTCATATTCCAGCATAAAATAAAGATGGTAAATAGCCACAAAACAGTGAGAAGCTGTATGCCACCGCTAAACCAAAACAGGATTTAGAGTTTCAGTTCTGCAGAACTGATGAAGAGGTAATTACTATGCATAAGCCAGGGGTAGGTTTATTTGCTGTTATTTGATGTTTGAATCTTGACTATAAGAAGATGAAATCAATTTTATGAGGTTTATGCTATTTTCTTTTGCTTTTTAAACAGAGTCTCAATGCGAGTATCTTCCCTTAGTAATTTATAAACTATATCATATCTCTTGTTTTATTATTTTGGATTTCTCTTTAACACTGATGCTCTTATTAAACTTTTTTAATTTGAAATATTTCTTCTAGAAAAGGTGACAGTATACTACAGCCCATAGGCTCGTAGTCTGTTTTTTTAAATAAAGTTTTATTTGGCTCTATGCCCATAATTTATGTATTATCTAGGCTCCTTTTGGGCTATAACAGCAACATGAAGAAGTTGTGATGGAGGTCATAAAGCCAGCCTATAAACCTAAAATTATTACTCTCTTGCTCTTGAAGAAATAGTTTGCTGACCCCTGCTCTAAACAATGGATCTATGAGGGTGAGAACTACATCTTGGTAAACTTAGTAATCTCAGCACTATGCACAGGAACCAAGGATTCTTGAACTGAGATCCACAACATGTCCACAGATGCATTTACCCCACAGAAATGTCTCATAAATGGCATATGTGTTAGCACGCATATTCATTTGCACATACACATTCATGTTTATTAGAAAATATTTCTAGCTTGCTCTTATTCTCAAAAGAGAATAAAAGGTAGCACCTATCAAATCAAGCCTCCCATATACAGAAAATACAAACTCCAGATATAAAACAAAAATGAACTTCCTTGAAGGTCCTAAGAGTGAACAAGAGAAGGCAGATTCTGGGAAGGATGAGAAGAAATCAAAACCTAGAAGAAAGGAACAGCATTCAATAATATTATTTTCCTATCTCTCTTTCTCTCTCTCTCTCTGTTGTTTTTTTCTCTCTAGCTCTTAAACTATCCACAGTCAAAGCCAAAACAGGAGCCTAAAACTCTGATTGAAAAACCTATGGTTGAAAACCCTGAAGAACAAGAGGACAAATTATGTTGGGACATCTACAATACATGGAAAGTGAAGGGAGAGGGATAATGGGAAGACAAGAGCTAAAAATGAAACAATGAAATTCTCTGCCAAATCTCTGGCTCACCTCCAAACCACACGTGTGGAGCAAACACAAAACAACAAACTTTCAGCTAAAATAATTGAGTTTTCAGCTTTTGTCCAAGTCATAGAGTATTCACTTTGACCTCAACCAAGTTAATTGTCTGCCTACCGCAAAATTTAGTGCTCTTCTGAGGAATATAACAGAACACAGAAACTACAATACATGACTTCCACAATGTTCAGGATAAAATTAAAAACTACTCAACATGAAAACAGATAGGATTATATAAATAATATTCAAAACAAGACAATTACCCAAATTATCTAAATTTTGGAATTAGCATACAATTACTTTAAAGCAGTTATTATAACTATGCTCAGTGAGGCAAAGGAAAATATGCTCAGAATATACAAAAAGTTGATAAATCTCAGCAGATAAGGATGAATGATAAAACCCAATGGAAATTCTAGAACTGATTAATACACTATTTCAAAGGAATATGTGGCTCTCTCCTAAAAATTAAAGTTTACTACCTACCAGTTCACTGTTTATTTCATTGGAGAAACTTGAGTTTGGGTTTCTCTAAAGGAACAGGTCATAATAGAAAGAAACAGTCCTGAAACAGCAATTAATCTCAAGACTTAGAATAGTAAAAAAGCAACAAATTGTTGCCTAAGTAAATTGACCTTAAACAAGTCTATTTATCTTATTTTTCTTAGGTGAAGAATGGGGATAATAATGGTATTCGTAATATTCCAAGCATAGTTTCTATAACATGGTAACACTTATTATGTTACCTGTAATGATAATGATGATGATTTTTAATTGTGTTCTGAAAGTGCTTTCTTTTTAAAACATGAGTATCTAGGTAGATGACATATTCTGGCTGGGTTTTACATGTTACCTAAGAGAACAGAGGCCAGGACCCAAGAGTAAAGTAAGCAAAGAGAAACTTCCAAAGGCATAGATCCTATTTCCAAAACTCAATTCAGAATCCTCTCTAAAATTTGTCCACTGCTAATTAGCTTTTGACATCTGTGCCTCTCCTCTCAATTTAATATGAATAGTCTTTGCCAAATGATTCCACTGAAGTGTCTCGTTAACACTAAAATAGTGCTGAAATGATTAATTTCTAGGTACTAACTTGAATAACATTAATCTTATTGAAATCATTTGGTATGAATGTGACTGTCATATATATTTTAAAAGACAGAAAGCAGCTGACTGTTTCTGATCTGTCATGTCACTGCATTTGATGTTTGAAGGAAATGTGGGGTCTGCTCTCTTGGGAGGCATATTCCACGTTTGACACACACTGACAGCAGTTGTAATTGTTGTGCAGAGGGAGGGAAAACAGAATTTTTAACTGCAATTAAGAAGTTCTCCCCCAACCTTCCTCCCCCACAGGAATTGAGATGCATATTCAGAACATAAATTGCAATAATCTCCTGCTATCAACCTCAGGCAATTGTTCTAAAATGCAGCTTAAATAATGAGAATATTTAACATACGGTACTAAGTATGGAAACAAGACTGTCTTAATGCCCTTATACTCATACTTGAAACAACAACAAAAAAGAGATTTCTGAAAGCTAAATAATGAGGTCTGTCCATGTTAAATTTGAAAAGGTAGATTAATTAGAAAAGGTAGGGATCTCTTGTAGAACATATATTTATCAGGTTATGCTTATATGTCTCTGCTTATGATAGGTAGCAGGAGCATCCTATTCTCAAGTTCCCCCTAACAAGTAGGGGTAAAGAATGAAGTTTTTAAAAAAGTTATTAGCCATATATCTACCATGTCATATACAAAAATTTAAATTAATCCTCATAAGCATCCAGGTAAGATAGGTATTATTGTTTTCATTTCAAACTGGGGATACTGGCTGGGCATGGTGGTTCACGCTGCTAATCCCAGCACTTTGGGAGGCTGAGGCAGGTGAATCACTTGAGTCCAGGAGTTCAAGATCAGCCGAGCCAACCAGGTAAAAATTCTACCAAAAATACAAAAATAGCTGGGTGTAGTGGCGTGCCCCTGTAATCCCAGCTTTTCAGGAAGCTGAGGTGGAGGATCACTTGAACTTGGGAGGTGGAGGTTGCAGTGAGCCAAGAGCATAGCACTGCACTCCAGCCTGAGTCTCAGAGAAATATATATCGGTTAAAAAATTATCATCATAGCCTAAGAGAGAGATTACAGTAACCTGAATTTAGAAAATGACAATAAAGCTTATTATCAATATATTCTCAATAACTTACCATGTGATCACTGTGCAGGGTCATTACCAAAGAATAGCTGGAAAAAAATTTAAAACTCAATTATAAAGCTATATATAAACAGGAGTACAAATACATAGATGCATCAGAAACCTTGTTTGGTATCTTTTAGAAAGAATTTTAGAAAGATTTGAGAATTGAAGAAACATGTTACTTTTGCCATTGCAAAAATCAGTGGCTACAAAGGACCCTGAGACTGGGGTAATTCCTTTATAAACTGTTTGACTACATATTTAGATATAACCCAATTACTGGAAGATCATTGTTAAAATTTTCAATTGTTTTGATTTTAAAACAACAGTTATCCTTTTTGTTACCTCTTACTATTTATCAGGGGCTGAGATTGAGGTGAGCAGTTTACCTGCCTTTTCTAATTTAATATGTAGAACACCACCCCCCAAAGAAAAGGGATTAGAATTCCCACTTCAAAGATGAGATAGCTGAAGCTCAGGGAGGTCAAATAATTTTCCAAGCTCATAGAAATAGTAAGTAGCAAACCAAGGATTAAGTTTTATGTAGCCTCACCACACAAACCTCTATTTATAACTTTTGCCTCCTTTTGAGTGGGAATTGGTTTTGCATTTAATCCAGAGAGCAGGCATTGAATAAAGAAAGTGAGAGAAGTGTAATAAGATACCAGCTCCAAGAAGAAAAATTCTCTTCCATGATTGAGACCTTAGGAACACAAAAATCAATCCTCTGTGGCATAACTATTTGCCAAAATAAGGCAGAATATATAACTAGCCCTGAAGGTCAACAGAAACCATAATTCACCAGATACTCTTATTTTTCCTGTCTGATACTGGTCAAACAACACCTGCAGCATTAGGTCCTGTTTGGAGCATCATAATAGAAAATATTTTTGTTAAACACCCAAATAAACTGAGAACGCTTAAATCTGAGAGGAGATAGCTTTGGTTAGTGTGGGCAAAAAGGAAGGTTATGAAAGCATGAGATCTGTCTTTAATTGTAATGTGTGGACATAAAAAAGAGAATGATTTAATTTATTCTGCTTATATACAAAGGGTAAAACATACCACTCTAGGTAGAAATTTCAAGATGGCTGCATTCAACGCAACATAACACCTCTGTAAGTATAATGTTTCCATCATGGAAGACTGACTCAAGATTCTGTTGACCCCATGATGTGAAGTATGCAATGAGACAGAACATGATATGGTGAAGATTCTTATTTAGATAGATTCAGGCTTCTGACTTCTGAATTCATCAAATCATGTTAAAATATCCATGATTGAGATGAGATGGTTGGAGATCTAATGAAGTGGTTGAAATCTGGCTTTTTTCATTAGGAGATTCTGATCTTACATTTTCTGACTATGTGAATTTGGGAAAATTATTTAATTTCTCTGAGTCTTGGTTTTTTCATCATATAAAATTTGTATCATAGTGCCTCCCAGGATGATTGTGAGGAATAAAGTAGATAATCTATATAAATGCCTAGCACATTCCTTGGCATATTATGAACACTGCAATAAATTGGAGATTTGTATACTAAAGAGTGGTGTTAACCATTACATGCATTCTCATTTCACAAATAGAGAAATTGAGCATCTGAGAGGTAAAAGACAAAGGTGAGATCCAAATCTAGAACAATTACCTTCAACTATTTTTTGATAGACCAATACCAAATAGCTAATATTGACCTTGAGGAAATAGCATAGGTTATTCATTCATTCCACAGTTATATTTTTTAAGATCTAGATTGTCTCAGGATAGTTTAGGTTTTGGAGGTACCAAGAAAAAAAAGAAAATTGTTGCCCTTAAGTTGCTCATAGTTTACCTAGGAAGAGAGGCAATTAGAATATAGTATGATAAAGGCAGTATTGGGGGTACGTGTAAGATATAATGGAATCTCAATATAGTACACAATATAGATCCGCTGGGTGAGCATTGTGAGGTGACTTCTGGGGTTGGGTGCCCATAGGATAGGCTAACACATGGGAACAGAAGACAGAGACCTGAGACTGCCTTTGTTAATATGACTTAATTATCTCTAAGAAATTATCATTCAAGAAGATAAGATTTTAAACAAACAAGAAACTTTAGAAAATAATAGCAATTTGATTTATCTTAGCAAATGGTAAGCTCATATGGACAAATTTTCTCTTAGAAGAACAGATTAGTTATCTGGGCAAACTACTCATTATCAGACAAGAATTTACTTATCCAGACTCATTTGATCCTTACCCTAAAGTGTTCAGCAGCTCTAAATTATTCTAATACAAATCTTACTCAATCATTGCTCTTTCTTGAAAGACCTACCTTGAACCTCTTGATTCTAGACTTTAAAACCATAAAACTACTCTTCTCTGACCTCAGTTGTCTAAAGCACTTGTAAGATTCTGTCAGGGTGGTGTTCTGCCCTACTGCAGTAAATCTAATAAACTCAACTTCACTTTATCAAAAGGCTTTTCTGGTAGGCTTCCTGGATAGCTGAACAATCAAAGCTCTGGATCAACTGTTGACAGAGCTTAGGACAAAGTTCATACAGAGGAAAAGGCATATTCTTTGTTTTGGCACTAAGTCTCAGGACGATTATATTACTGAAGCTTATAAGGCATACATTTCTTTTAATTACTTGCTTTATCATCATAATAAAAAAGGCTTCTCCCCATTACAGCATATTGGCATGCTGGTTATTACATCTATTTATGCTCTCTATATGACAACATCTTACCTGGTATGTCTGAAATCAGCAATGTATTGCAGCTAGGTATATAAATGTTGAATGATCCCTAGCAAAGGGATGCATCTACCCAGAGGAAGGATCTGACTTTTATAATTCACACAAAGGTGCCACATGCACTAACATAGAGCTGGCTGTGATAGTGATTGCATTTACATTGCTACAATGATACCCATGGTAGCAAGGGGTCCAAACCTGAGAGTGTTCAGTCACAATTCTGTTCTGAAACGTTTAGCATGTTGTGAATGTGATAAAGTAGACTAACAGTGATACTATAGAGTAGAATATAGTTCAAATCCTAAATGGGGTACAGACAAATGCTACTGAAACACTCTGAGGGTGTCATATATGCATTATGTGCAAATGTCAGTTCTCAACCAAATGTCTCATAATTGCAAATGTCTCATAAATTCCAAAGAATTCCCATCATTTTTCACTTCAGCCTCCTTTAGTTTAATGCTATTGATGCCCTTCTTTATGTTGCCTCTATCCACATGCATTCAGTATATTACAATTAGCAGGTAATTGGAAAATGCAAAAGTCTCTGACTTATATCCCCCAATAAGAGGAGACTCCTCCAGACACTTGTTAAACAAACATCCTAAATATTTGGAGGAGGAAAATTCTCAAAGGTTTTTAAGTTTTTAGCATTATAGAGATCACAAGTAGAAATTCACAACACAGTCACCATTATTGCTAGTTTCAGATATTGCTCTCTCTTTAGTTATGTTGTATCTTTATTATTTGGTGAATGTAACACACATATATATGAGATTTCAATTACAGATGTTTCTAACTTTGATTCCACTTATACATAAATGTCTGTATATTTTTTAAAATTCTTCAATCTCACATTTTCTTATAAAGATTGCTTTTAAAAACTCAACCTGTAACATTTGTGGAGAAATATCCATACTTAAAAATTAATAAGAAATTATGCTTATGCTCCTTAAAGCAACATTAATCATAGTTTGATCAAGAAGCGAGGGACTGGCCGGGCGCGGTGGCTCAAGCCTGTAATCCCAGCACTTTGGGAGGCCGAGGTGGGTAGATCACGAGGTTAAGAGATCGAGACCATCCTGGCCAACATGGCGAAACCCCGTCTCTACTAAAAATACAAAAATTAGCTGGGCATGGTGGCGCGTGCCTGTAATCCCAGCTACTCAGGAGGCTGAGGCAGGAGAATTGCCTGAACCCAGGAGGCGGAGGTTGCGGTGAGCCGAGATCGCGCCATTGCACTCCAGCCTGGGTAATGAAACTCCGTCTCGGGAATAAAAAAAGAACTGTCCTTTATTGTACTACTTTTTCCTCCTTATAATCCATAGAAATATTCTAGAAGAAAAACAAAAAGTTTTTGCCCTATAGGTACACTATGAAGAATACTATAATCAATTTTGGATCAAATTGATTTTATGGAGAAACTGCAAGTTTGGAGTTTTCCAAACACCTACAAGAGATGGCAGCAAAATTAAGAAGCCAGACCCCACAGGGGAAGGAGTAATAAAGAAAAGGAGGGAAGGGATCCAGGCAAGAAGGACATGTGGGAGTTCCAAGAGAGACAGGATAGACACAGAGGGCACATTTCAACAGTAAAGAAATATCCTCTGGATTTTTACATCATGTGAGAAATACAGCACTCTTTCTAGTAACTGAGCCAGGTACCTTTCTAGCTATTATGAGGGATGATGACAGAATAGCTCTTCATAGGGCAGAGTGTGACTACAGAAGAAATATTAGACCAAACTTCTTCAGCATTGATTACTGTCCCTGCTGCGCTTATTCCAAACTTATGTGATATATCCTGTGTCCAGCCAGAATCTTGGGATGTTGCAGCAACATCAAATGGGCCTGAATAAAATCCTGCTAGAAAGTCTAGAGTTTTCTGTTATATAGGCAGACTGTCACATGAGCAGAAGTCGCTGTTGGAGCCTGAACATATAGAAATGGTGGTACCTACCACAGGCAGACTTCCAAGAAAATCAGAGTATAGCTGTTTTGATCAGCTCTACTACAATGCACCCTGGTGGAAGAAAAGAATCCTAGCAAAGTCTAAACCTGACATGGGTGACAGACGAAGGCAACAGAAAGCAGGCTAACATGTTAAATATTTAATATCTGTTGGATTGCTTTTGATCTCTCAATCACAGTGGCTGGTTGGCTGTTTTACTCTTTTTGGCTTCCTCCCACCCCCAGCATTTTCTTAACAGCTCCTTTTTTTCTAATATTAATATATCACATACTCAAAATAAAAAACGGGAAAAATATTGACAAGCATGATGTAAAACACAAATCACCTTTGAGATAAGCAGTGT